TTTATAAGATCACTGGTTCAGTGACATCAACTAGCTGTAGATGAAATTCATTCTGGATAGCATATTCCACTGGAAATTACTTATACATGTAGTAAAACGTGCACCAATACTTGATATCTGAATATGTCCGTGATAAGTATTCATGGCCATGGATGGACCTGTGATATATAAGTATTATAATCAGATGTGCTTCAAACACACATAAAGTCATAATCGGCCTAAATGATTGTTTCCAACATGCAGAACCATATCATTCTGTTGACTGCTGCTTTGGTGATACAAGTACTTTGCACTGTCCGTGTAGGTAAGAACATCTTTGGATATAATTTCTTAAATGTGTCTTGAAGCGCTTTAATCCAATAATAGTACGTTTTTCAGTTTTAATTGAGTGAACACTTACAAGCAGAAAATAAGTTTGTTGTGTCGAAAGTACAGTACATTAAGCACATTTCTTTATTTCTACCAGGCGGCCAGCTTTGTCAGGGACCTGATGCAGTTTATTTCAACTCCAAGTGTTTTCAGCTGTTTAAAGAACTGAAGTCTTGGGCGGACGCTGGGAATGATTGCAAATCTAGAAATGGAACCTTGGTGGTTATAGACAACAAGAAATCAGATAACTTCGTGAGGGAACGCTTTTTAAAGGGAGAGGGATTAAAATTCGACGTATGGATCGGTGCCTCGTCCACAAAGAAATGGCGCTGGTACGACGGTAGGTTTTATCATTTTAATGGATTTTTGTTATAGCCCCAGAAAGAAGAAAAAGAGAGAGAAAAAATAACTTCTTGCCCAGACGGTCAGTAAACAGTTTGTTTGATAAGCGCTGGGAAGGAACCTGAAACGAGTCACCAAAAATAACTCTTGGTTATTAATCCCTTGACGAGTAATAATAACCAAAGAAAAATATTCGAATGTCATGCCTTGTATTAAAAGGAAGATATAGGAAATAATACATGTATTTTGATGAAGACACTGCATGTCTTTTGAAAACTTTAATAAGCATATTCAGATTAAAAGTGCCACTTTAAGTGAAGCACAACTGTGGAAAACATTTAGGAAATCTTCAAATTAAAATTGTTTGTATTTTTGTGTGTGTGAGAGAGTCACATGTTCATACCTTGTATACACTCTTGGTCAAGAAGGAAGTTCCACGTCCATTTCATATGTTTTTGTTTACAAGTGATAACCTCACAGGTGTAAATTTTCAGAAACAGTGCTTTTTATTCCATATACCATTTAAATCTGACTTATTGTATACAGAAAAACGCAAAATACCGTGAAGATATTAATAATTTATTTAATTTTATATCATTTATTCAAATTTATATCATGTATCCCGTCAAAGCCGTGATTTCCACAGAGGCTAAGAAATCCCCATTAGATTGAAGATACGTCACCAGATGTCACCATATCTACACACAATTAGCATCAAAATGTGAGTGCTAAAGTTTACGTGTCTAATCATATTTTTCACCAAGAGTGTTTACATGTACAAGCAATTTTCACTTCAGACAGGCAGCCCCTCCCCTGGGCGGCGTGGGGACCCGGAGAGCCTAATTTCAGCGGGGGAGTGGAAGATCGCGTCATGCTTTGGAGAGACTTTGGTTATAAGTGGAACGACGAACGTGGAACCACAAGATTTATGTTTAATCTGAAGGATTCCCATAATGAAAAATCCAACGCTATTTGTGAATTTAGTAAGTATTGCCATTTGATTTTTGTCTTTGTACTTAAAACCAGCGTTAAATTAATGTGGACATTATCCTGTTATGCAAAGTTTACAGCAGTGTTTCAGATAAATAGAGAGATATTCAGAGCGATAGGTTTGTGTTTTCATTCTTAACAAAGAAAAATTGTGCTATATTTCAGCCAACGTCTGGAGCTGTTCTGGAGTAATTAAAAACTGTGGATCGGGCGTCTTTCACAATGAGTCCTGTTTTTGTCTGGAGGTTCACCAGGGGTCTGAAGACGAAGATGGATATACTTGGATAGAGGCAAACAACCTATGTGTTAACAGAGGAGCAAGGATGGCACATATCGAAAACCAGTCCACACAAAATGCTATAGTCAGTCATATTAAAGCAGAAAGCGTGAGGGACAAGTGGCGTTACGCTGGAAACTACTGGATTGGTGCCGTGTGGAACACAGCAGAACCATATACGTGGGTTTGGGAAAATGGTAAGTTTATACATAGTAATTACCAATTATAGCCCATGTGATAATAGGGTTTAATTATAAGACAAAGAACCCTGCGTGAGGAAGTCGTCTGATAAACATTATCCTGTTCAGTAAATAGTATGCATCCAATTACGGGTAAGTACTCAGGTCACGTGCCACCAAAAAGGTTCTGCCTGAATACAGTTGAAGTAAAGACATAATCCATTCCCAAGTACAGCTGAAAGTTACACTTTTCATTTCCCAAGTTTTCCAGTTTTATTGCAGTTTTGTAGGTTAGAGTATTCATTCTTTCTTTATCTCCTGTCGTTCCTCATTTCCTCTCTTTCTTCAAGTATCCTCTTTAAAAACCTCCTTTTGATGGGAAGCAGCGCAAATCCAGCCCCACCTTCAATAAATGTCATTTAGCTTAATGTCTCTGCCATGGTCATACAAATCTTACACTTTCGCGCGATCCCAATCACATCATTTTCAGGTGCCTCCCTCTCGCCACTCTTCCAATTATTGAACATAGTAAAAATGTATTTTATTTTCCTCTTTGGATTATAAATACGATTATGAAGAACTTTATTGCAGTATTGCATTATTCTCCTCAATGTATATTTTTAGGTAAGCAGTTAGATTATTTCAACTGGGACTCACATGGAACCCAACGACCAAATGCTGGCAACACTATCAAGTTGGCTTTGTCAAAAGAATTCAAATGGGTCACTGGGGTTGCCGCAGAAATAAACTATTACATGTGCCAGTCTGGTAGGGAGTGGTTCTTTTATGTCAACAAATTGTAGTGAACCGTTAATTAGTGCTTATAACATAAATTTGAATACATATCATTTACATATCCAGATGAATCTAAGCATGACAGTTTGCATGCGGTGAACTATTAATTGTATTGAGAGCTAATTTCCATATATGTGATCTACATATTCATCAATGCAAATTGTACCCACAGTTAAATTTTAAGGTCTTAATGCATGGCATGTCGCATGTCAGTCCTAGAAGTTAATCTAAAATGTAAATTAAGTTCATGTATAAAAGTAGAGAGACTGAGAGAGTAAGGGGACAGATACCACAGAGAGAGATGGTAGAAGAGACCTGAGTCTTCAGTCGGTTGAATAAATCATGTAGCAGAAAACTAAACCTGCCTGTCTCAGCTGACTTATTGGTGAAAAAGAAACCAAAGAAAGTGTATAACCACTGACTGGTTATTACAAAATATCCGCATTTGAGATTCTCTCTCTCTCTCTACATAATAAAAGAATAGATCAAATCTCATAAAAATTAATTTATCACTTCATTAGTAATGTGGTAAAGTACTTTTTACCACTCTGTGATAGTAAGGAGAACATACACTATTTGGGTACCCAAATTTTTTTGTATTCTGATTTTAAATCTACTTTTTAACTTATCATTCCACATTCAAATTATAAAATATCATCTGTATTTTTTCACATCTTTCCTTTCTATGCTATCAGTCAATCTATTAACATTCCCCTTTACTTTTGGTTATGATGTGATGTTTTGCGCTCTTTCATAATATCTGTCATAATGCATTTTTACAACTCCCATTGTTAGCTTTCAATCAAAGAATTGTTAATGCTAAATTAGATAATGTTGTGACAATCAATTAGTTGGTAATTTGTATTAATAGATATTTTCCATTACCTAGTCATGAGAGAGTGGTAACTTTTCTTTCTTGTTGATGTCTCTTACTTTTCATAACTTCTATGATTTTACTCTTTCTCACTCTTTGACTTATTGGCATGTAAGTTTCATCAATCATTAAATGTAAAATTCATTTCCCTAAATTAAAAAAAAAAACAATACTTGTATTAGTATTTTATTTTCATTACGATATATTGATTGAAATAAAATTGTTCGCCAAAAGGTCCCTATTATAATCATTATTTAAAATTAGCATTAAAGTATGCTTATCTCAAATAATAATAAAACTAAAATTACAAGAGTAGAAGTAAGCTCTGCCATCGCTTTTACATGCACAAGTATACTCCATAGGTCCCAGGTGCCCTGAGATCCACCCTGAGCACAGTAAACTGGTGAAGTCAGACATAATCAGTTCTAGTTATGTCTGTGAAGTTGGCTACCACATGAACGGAGACAGTAGTTTTTCCATAGTTTGTCTTCCAAGTGGAAAGTGGAATATGACAGCAGGTTGCTCAAGTAAGTCGAGTACCCTCCAGCCAACAGTTAAGGATGGTCTTGGGTTCCACTTAATTATCAGTAAGGGTTGCCAACAGATCTTTACCGAACGAATTTGGTTGTTACGTAACCCGTGTCACTATAGTGCCTTCTGTTGGTGAATTGTTGACATATTTTTTCTTTGTCGGTTTTCGCTGTGCTGCAGGTGTTGTCCTATTGTCTCCCTGATTCTTGAGCTCTTAAGTAAAGATACTTGCCATTTAGCTTTGGATAGTACAGCTCGGCCCAGTGATACAATGATAATGTTGGAGGCCTTCAGCGATATCTTTGAAACACTCTAAACATGAAACTATATTAGTTAACATTGTCTTTATTTATCCTCTTTTCAATTTTTAATTGGGAGCATATCTCGTAAAGAAGGTAAAGTGGCAAAAAAGGTAGAGTTGTAGTACCATTATAAAGAAACAAATAATTTAAAATATTGTTTTATCAGAATCCATTTTAATAAACGTGATTGGGAATAAAACATTTAACTCCAAGTTTTAACTATTTTTTTATTTCAGACGTCAACGAGTGTAACCTGGGCACCCACAATTGCAGTCAACACGCAAACTGCACAGATTTACCCGGTATTTTTACCTGCTCTTGTAATTCTGGTTACACCGGTGATGGCTATAACTGTCATGACATTGATGAATGCCAAACAACCAACAACTGCAGCTCCTCAGCTAGCTGTACCAATACCAATGGTGGCTATACCTGCTCTTGTAATTCTGGCTTCACTGGTGATGGCTATAACTGTTATGATATTGACGAATGTAAAACAACCAACAACTGCAGCTCCACAGCTAGCTGTACCAATACCAATGGTGGCTATACCTGCTCTTGTAATTCTGGCTACACCGGTGATGGCTATAACTGTCATGACATTGATGAATGCCAAACAACCAACAACTGCAGATCCTCAGCTAGCTGTACCAATACAAATGGTNGCAAAACAACCAACAACTGCAGCTCCTCATCTAGCTGTACCAATACGAATGGTGGCTATACCTGCTCTTGTAATTCTGGTCACACTGGTGATGGCTACAACTGTAATGATATTGATGAATGCAAAACTACCAACAACTGCAGCCCTTTGGCTAGCTGTACCAATACCAATGGTGGCTTCAAATGCACATGCAATACTGGATATAATGGAGAGGGCCATGTTTGTTTAAGTACATGTGTCGCGTGTTTTTTATCTTGGAAATGTTTACAACATTTTAATGGATAGTTATTGTTGCACTATGATATCGTCATGGGCAGAACTCAAACAATTAATAGTAAAATGGTATATTAGATTTTTACTTGTTGAAGACTTTACAGAAATAGTTTACACTGAATTAAAAAATACGTACACAAAATATTCTGTAGATGGCATTTAAGTATCACTAAGTTTGTAAAAAATGTGAATTTAAATTTTATTTCCTGGATAAATTCAATTAAATCAGACTGTTTTTATTATCAATAAAACATTAAAACACCAGTAAAAATGTATATTTTTGTAAGAGACCATCATTATTCGCATACGGTTTTTAAATCTGTTCATGTTATTCGATCGTCAGCAAATAATCATTTTTATGGTATTTAGCCTTTGTTAAGTAGTAAAATATGTAGTAAAAGATAAGAAGCGTTAATGAGATAAAAAAAAATAAGATGACCTTTTTTACAGAAATTTAGGAAGAAAAACGTAGTTCACTTTTCATTTTTACCTTTCCAGTCGTAAAATGTCAGCTGCCAGAGTTACCAGACAAGGTCGCAGTTAAGTACGATACCCTGGTATTTGGCAGCACTTTAACATACAGCTGTAGCGATGGAGACTTGGTGTTGGCAGGGAGTTCAACAGCAGTTTGCATGAATAACGGGAGTTGGAGTTCCGAACCCCCATCTTGCACGGGTAAATATGCTAAGATATGTAAATAGAAAGGATGAAAATGTTTATGTCTAAACCGATGTCTCTAATTCATTTTAAATTTCATGTAATTACGTAGATTTGAGTGGGCAAGAAAACGAGGAAAATGGCTAGTTAACGAAACGGGTCTTGTTTCAACAATTTGAATGAAGATACACGATGTAAAAGTAGTCACTATTAAATACTAATGGAAAGTTAATAAATAGGTAAGTAACGATACAGAGTAGAAAATGAAAACTGACCAGTGTTATTATTTGCACCAATAAGGAGTATAATTGTATTAGAAAGGGGTGAATATTTTTTACACTTTGTGAAAGAAAAGGGGGTGCTAAAGATGGTTCCTAATGGGTAAACGATACACTTTCCGTAAACTGTTTTTTCTTTGCATCTTTTGTTAACCAGTTTCACATTTTCCTATACATGATGCAAGCTAGAACGAAATACTTGAGCTTTTCTGCAGTGTATTATTGAATAGTCTTCCTTGCGACACTGAATGCTATGGAATGATTTTTTTAGGTTTTACTTCACAAGAAGGCAAAAATGACCGAACAGAAAGACGGGATTTCAGGAGTAAGTCACTGAACAACAAGGGTTGCAGTAGTATAAATAGATCTTCAGCTACACTCGTCTCAGATGTTTTCGTCACATCAACATAGAACACCTTTTTTGGAACCGCAATATTTTGAGACCAGAACACGCAAAAGAAAATATTTGGTTATTGACAAATAATCTATATTTTAGCAAACCTTTTTCTGATGAATTTTACTCATTACAATACCACCCAAACAATGAAGCAAGCTTTTAATGATGGTAAACTTAAAATGATATTTGTAAGGTTTTAGTTCTTTTTAAAGCGGTTTTGTACCATATTTTTAAATGTGACATATTCACGTAATGGTAATCAATGTATTTCGTGAGTTATTCACAAAACTAAAAACAATCCAAGGATATGAAGGCTATACGAAATGTACACGGTACGGTTTAAGGGTCATTCCCGTATTCAACTTTCTCTTTTAAACTCTTCATTAAGATATCCTGTGGATCATCATAGCTGGGATAGTTGTATTGGCTCTGGGTATCGTTTGCTGTGTGATGCTGGCGATAGTCCGGGGAGGGAAAGGGTAATCTCCAATTATTTCCTTTCTTTGCGTTAGATTGCATCATATATAACAAATACATTTATTTTCATGTATTAATTATCGCTTATTGCTTTATTTTCATGTATTAATTATCGCTTGTTGCTTGCTGAGCTTTTGTATTGAAATCAAAATTGAAAATATGATATAAAGTGCTATAATTGATAAATACCTTTTAAAAACCATATCTGATAGACATCAATTTTTTTAAAAATAGGATTTGATGATAACAACATGTACGTTTTAGAGATCCGATTATATAATGTTTGGCGTAAATATCTTTCCCATATAATACTTAAATATACATTTTAATTACGTAAGCGCGTATTGCGTGCACTTTGCCTGTGAATGTGATAATAAAACTAAACATTTTCATAAATTTCAGTAAAACTGGATACAATAAGCACCGTAGAATGAGAGAAAGCATTTCCAGCACAGTGCTGAACCCAATGTATATCAAAGTATTGGCAGATACGACCACAAGAGAACGTGGTGGAATGACGTCAGTCACAGGTAAAAGTGATTAAGATGCCTAAAGTTTTATTTTCTTTGTTAATCTCAAACTACGGACCTGTATGATAAACTGCATATACTAAAAACGTGGAAGATGATAAATTCATTTAAACGCTACTCATTTCAGGCAATCGCCATTTCTGCAATCATCTTGATGAAAGCGTTCTCCCTCGACTAGATCTAATATCTGAAGAAACATCCGTAGATGTCACCCGCTGTCATTCCATTGAAGAAGGAACTGTTGAAATATATGACACCGTAGATTTTACACAAAACAGGAGTTAAATGTGTATTCTGTAGACAAGAAAGTGATGATGGGCACTACCGTCAATGTCGTGCCCCCGTGACCTGAACGTATAGCCTCATTTTCTGCTTTGAGAATATTGTTCTTGATTCTTCTCGTAAGAGTCATAATGTAACAAGATTCAATGGTTCTCAAGTCATTTAATTTTTTTAAAATAACATCTGGAGAAATTATATCAACAAAGAACTATTACGTTTTCATCACAGTGTAGAAGAATGTGATCGGTAGACAGCTATTTTACCATAATTTTTTGTTACTGTTACAATTATTAAGTTACAAAACTATGGTATTTAGTGCTCTGTCTATAATCTTATTATTGCATACATGGAGCAACTAGGCAGCCGACCATAAAACAGTGACCTATAGCGTAACCTTTGAGATATACGAACACCAATTATATATTTAATATGTATTTCCTCTATGAGTGAAGAACATATTTTAACCGATTGGCTGACGTACATGTACATGTAGGAGGGAGTTTGATCAGCCGATTTGCCAGAAGGTTGGGTTGGTCCACGACAACCATTCAGAGGGTTAGAAAACATCATTACCAAACACAAACAGCCACATGGGAAAGCTTGCCGTCTACATGCCAGATGGCATACCAGAGCTCTTGCCTAGACACTCGCCAACAAAAGGGGAGTGATACTGCTTTTAGATTGAGGCAGGTTGACCGTTGTCAGAAGTGATAGACGCGTAAGATGGTAAGAAGTATCTCATGGTATAGGCGTTGGCTACTATGGTGTAGGCGAAGTGGTATTGGTCAACGTGGACCGTAACACAGAGCAATGCATCCAAATACCGGAAAGAAACTCTATGCAAACGCAGCAAGGCAACATTTACAACTGATGAGGTGGTCACAACAATTGGCATTTGTTGCTCGATTGATACGCCGGACAATAGGCCTGCCCAGCACGATTAGACACAATGTATATAAGGGCAGCAATCTACATGTAATGCACACATGAAAATTATTATGAAATTGATTCACACCTTTGTCACAATGCATGATAACCTATTATGACCCACGAGATATAGAGATACGCCTATCTGACCGTTATCTAACTTAACTAACCAGTATTACATTCCCTTCAATGACAAATGTACAAAATATTAGTTTACGTTGAAGACATCCTGTCAAATATTTTCTTGCAGGGGCGCTGATTCTTCATTTACGCGGGAAAATGGTCACAAAACGAATTTTTCAGGGTGAACGACAATTTTCCCATACTTATAATTGGTGAATCACATTCAAAGTTAGTATATTGTTTTTTAAGAATGTGGTTTTTGTAATAAACTCATTGACATATGACATTCATATCGCCTTTTTCGTTTTAGCTGCCTGACTGTCGAAGGCAGTTGACACGAGGAAAATATATATAAATTTATTGACTGACATTTTCAATAATTGGCCATTCTTTTCGTTGGAGTTCCAATGGTGAATGAAACATGTTCAAGACACAATCCTCTCCATAAAAAACGGTCACTGGGCATTTCTTTAAAAGATGTTAAGCTTTTATGTAGCAAGAAATTAAACAATTGGGACAAAGGGAGAAAACCATTGTGTTCAACGGTGTCAATTGTTAAGTGTGATAATAAGATTGGTTAAACGCGATGACAAGACGAACGGATATATGTCAACTTAGATAATACATAGATAATAACAAATATGGCGAGTAACGTCATAACCCAAAATTTCTTAATATCCCAGCGTTTGAAAAGCAGACCTGTTATTAAGAATCAGCAATGCATTGGGTCGTTTTCGTTTTTAAAAGAAAGAAAGAGCGTCAACGTGATTTCTGGCAAAATGGAATTTATGTATTTTGAAAAATGTATTAATCCACTGAACGTGGTTTACGGGTAGTATGACATGGTAAGGTACCGGGTAAGCTACTGACTGATGTGATGTTCAAGTCTGACTTTGCTATTCTTGGGAGAGGTATCTTTAAACCCCAAAAGTGTGCTACTTTAAGATGGGCACCAGGTGTCTCTATTCTACATACATGAATGCACCCAAGATAATATTCTAGTACACGGCCAATAAACTGAGGTCAATAAACTTAATAAAGGTTCCGTTTGAAGACTATGAATGAATAAATAAATGCCGTCAATTCAAATTTCGGCGAGGAGGATACATACAGTAGGCATATAACGATACAAGGAAGAGGAAATCCGAGGTGTGACGTGTGGAAAGATATGACCTCGCTGCCAGTTTCAGATTGTATACAAGGCAGTGAACTAAATACGCCACTTGTCTCCATATGTCCCCTTTTTGGTTAAAAACTTTTTAACATCGTTTGTACTGTGATTGTTTAATGTACTATAATTTTTCATTATTACTTGCTGTCCAATGCAATCGTTATAGGATTTATGTTAACGTTAGTTAAAATAAACCAAGTAATATGCACACCACACGGACGAAAAGTGCTTTCTGTTTATGCAAATAAAGCAAATGCTGTTTTTTGTTTATTTTCTCCTACCGAAGCTCTAGCTGGCAGGGGTCCTCCTTGACAGACGTAGAGGTAGCAACTAGATCAATCTAAACATAGTTTACATTATGAAGGTTAGCGTCAGGGTATCATTGAAACTATCTCTCCACTTCACCATGTCCACACATTATATCTCCATTAACTACCTCCTTGGGGCTTTATCAACGCCACTTAAACCTTGTAGACACAGTAAGCGCCATGTTTTATCTTTGCACGAGGGTAAACGAACAAACTCTGGCATGTGTTAGTGTGTGTCATGAAAAGGGATGGTGTGCCTCTGTCGGCCGAATGTGTAGAGCGAACCGGCACGTGCACACATTTTCGCCACCGACACAGACACACAACGCTCCCCCCCCCCCCGAGACACACACACATACACACACACACACACACACACAGAGAGAGAGAGAGAGAGAGAGAGAGAGAGTATTCATTTGCAAGTCATAGTAATCAGATAATTGACAACTGAACAGAAATCCAGCTCTTCTCGGCTGTACTCCATCTACCCAGATTGACGGCTGCTGGGCTGGTGCCTAATAACCCTTATTAGAATATTTTTTCTTTTGCGATATTTATATTTTAAATCTTGTTTTACATACATGTATTTGTCTTTATTGATTTATGTCGCAAATATAGAATCTATAAAAAGCTCTTGTTAGTGGAGCGAGAGTTTGATTAAAACAAATACATTAACTAATTAAGTAGAGCAAAAGTTAACTGACCTATCCAGTTCCTATTTCATTTTACAAAATTAGAATACACAGATGGAGCTCAGATACACTTTCTTGCTTTCTTTGTGCCTTTGAACAAATACACTAAAAAAAACAAGACAGCAACAATTGCAAAGGCTAATTAGTGGTTACTCTGATCTCTGACATATTTTTGTTGCGTTTGTCACATTAACTAAATAGAACTAAATAGAATTTCGTAATGAATTCTTGTCTTTATCCTTTATTTAACCTGTTACTATGCGTATATGACATGTAGAACAATCAAAAAGTGAATATTTTCCGTTTTAGGCTGTAAATGAAATTCATTTCTAGATATGCGCATAGAGACCGTTGTGTCAATACTTGATATCTGAATGTGTCCGTGATAAGTCTTCAGGCCATGGTTGGACCTCTGATATATATGAATTATAATCAGATGTGCTTCATACACACATACAGTCATAATCGGCCTAAATGGCTGTCTCTCACATGCAGAACCATATGATATTGTTGGCTGTTGTTTTGGTGATACTTTGCAATGTTCCTGTAGGTAAGAACATGTTTTGTTCAAAATTCTTAAACATTGTGTCATGAGGCGCTTCGTAATTTTCTTTCTTTTTTCTTTTTTTAAGGACACCTGTTCCTTAGTTGTGTTGAAAACAGCTGATGTACATGTAAACCCATTTTCTTTGTTTCTACCAGGCGGTCAGCTTTGTCAAGGAACTGATGTAGTGTATTTCAACTCCAAGTGTCTTCAGCTTTTTAAAGAACGGAAGTCTTGGACGGACGCTGGAAATGATTGTAAGTCTAGAAATGGAACCTTGGTAGTCATAGACAACAAGAAATCAGATGATTTCGTCAGGGAAAGCTATTTAAAAAGGAAGGGACTTAATGTCGACGTTTGGATTGGCGCCTCGGCTACAAAAAGATGGCGTTGGGACGACGGTAAGTGTTATCATTCTTTTCATGGATTTTTGTAACAACTATAATATTTTATTTTATTTTATATGTATGTAAGTTTAAACCATGTGCTGTTTTATCCTATGTATAAACAAGAAAATGTATCATTTGTAACATATCATCAGCTGTAACTATAAGGGAGATTTATTTTTATTTCATGTTTATACAGTACATAAAATTATACTTTATACATGTAAGAGGTTCCTAGTAGAACTACGTTTTATCACCAGGTACGGAAATTGTGCACGCATTGGCCAGGAGCAAGAAATAATTAATAATGATAATTATTGAAACCATAACATAGTTAAAAGATTAATTAAGATTAAATAGCCCAAGCCTTTAAAAACTACATTTACATGTTGTAAAAGAAAGCAAATAAAAGTATTGCGGAATTGAAATGATTTGGAGATAAAAAGTTCAAATTATCATTGTCATTCCTAATTTTCCTAAAGGAAGATTTGAATAGACCAATCCTATGTTTTCGTTAGCAGGGCATCGTCATATTATAAGTAAGGAAAAATAATATCAAGTGACCTTACCGGTATTTATAAATTAATGAACAATAAAAATAATTGCTGATTTTGCTGACAATGATAAGGTCTCAATGCCCGTTAGGTTGTGTCTGCTGCATGACAAAAATTACATATATTTAAACGTTTTAAACTACTTACTTGGGAAGAATATAATAAATTTAGGAAATTATCAAACGTTCATATACAAAAGGAATCCATCCATTCATCAATATTTTTATTTCAGACGGGCAGCCCCTCCCCTGGGCGGCGTGGGGCCCCGGAGAGCCGAATTTCAACGGCGGAAATGAAGATCGTGTCATGCTGTGGAGAGACTTTGATTACAAGTGGAACGACGAAGCCAAAACAACAACCCACATATACAGACCTGACGAAAGTCACGAGGAAAAATCCAACGCTATTTGCGAATTTAGTAAGTACTGCAATGAATATATTGAATCTTTAAATTGTTGAAAATATCTTCGCATGTATATTGGTCTGCTTTTTCGTTTGTGGTCAAACTTTTGTTTCGCGAAAGAGTAAAAATTCAAAGTTTTGAAACTAACCAAAGCCTATTGACAACTTAATTTATTTTTAATTTATGGTGTAATCACATCAAATTGCATGAAATGATAGGCCATTACTTTTCCAACCTACCAAATTACGATCGGCAATATTTAAGATTTTTGAACTGTGTTTGTAGATAGACGTCTGTGAAAGAGAAAACAAAAAGCATAAAACCTTTTAATATTCCTTTCCGAAATAATTCAGTTTGATGTAGAAATTATGTATTAAAGCATAATGTATTAAACCATTATTGGCAGATTTATTTTAAAAGTTAGGTTTTAAGGCTATATTGTAATATCGGAAATGGACAGGACATAACGTCGTGGACATTCCATAATAAAACTACGTGTACATTACTTTCTAAAACCGAATTTACACCTGTGCTATATTTCAGACAACGGTCAGAGCTGTCCCGGAGAAACTAACTGTGGATCCGGCGTCTTTTACAATGGGTCATGTTTTTGTCTGGAGGTTCACCCGGGCCGAGTAAGCCAAGATGGATATACTTGGGGGCAGGCAAACAGCCTATGTCTCAACAGAGGAGCAAGACTTGCCCATATTGAAAACCAGTCCACACAGAATGCTATAGTCAGCCATATTAAAGCAGAAAGCGTGAGGGACAAGTGGCGTTATGCTGGAAATTACTGGATTGGCGCAGTTTGGGACATAGCAGAACAGTATAACTGGGTTTGGGAAAATGGTATGTTCACATAAACTATAAAGAATCATTGGAAGGGGCTTGGTAACGTTAGCAAAAAACGTATCAATGTATTCTAACTCGTTTCAGAATTAGATTGATAAATTTTGAATAATGATAGTCTTGCCGATATAATGTCTTACTGCAGTTTTCAAGAGGGAAACCATCCGTCATCACCAACAACGTGTCAAAAATGGGCCATTGATAAAATTAGCAAGTGTTTCTTTTCATATAAAAAATCTCAATTATAAAAATTTCGCTTCGAAACCTAAAACATCATTTAGAACGGGTTTGTTTTAATGTCAGTGTTCGGCATTCTGATATAAATCTTGAAAACGCGATCAGATTGATCTAGATGAGCTAATAAATTGCCCCATATATTTGGATGAAGGAATTATATTTACAGTACATTGTATTTATAATACCGAATATCTGTCCTCAGATCTCAAGGCGCAGTTTGTCAAATATCTTTTTTTGTGTGTGTTTTAGGAAAGCAGTTAGATTATTTTAACTGGGACCCACATGGAACTCATCAAGCAAATGCTCGCAACGCCATCAAGCTTGGCTGGTCAAGAGAATTCAGATGGGTCACTGGGGTTGCCACAGACACGAACTATTACATGTGTCAGTCTGGTAGGGAGTGCTTCTTTTATTTCAACAAATGCCAGGATATGATATTCTCTCTCTCTCTCTCTCTCTCTGTTGTGCATGCATGCGCGCGTTCAGAAAAAAAAAAACATTTTACCGTAAAACTCTACTAGAATTGTATTTTTCTGATTGGTCAGCTACCATACTCTGTAAATTCAAATATATATTGTATTTTTGTAAATGTAAATGAAACTGAAATCCCAGAGCAAAGGCCCTGTCAGTTATATCAGTACTGAGTACAATGCTTATACCCCCGAGGAATGAGCAAGAATGCCGTCGAAAAGAGAATTCTTTGTGCGTTCCTGGATATTTCTAAAAATTCCGAGTGCATTCCAAATATTTTTACTCATTCTTATGGCCGGTCCGAATGTTTTGCTCATGTTAAAAACTTCCGAAGTGCATTCCAAGTGAAAAATTATCGAATGGCATTTAAATAGTATTCTAACTGGACTATGACTGCATCCTAAATATTCTCACGGCATTCTGATCATATTCGAGGGAGAACCCAAATGACAAGATACTTCAAATCCTGCTACAATGAGTCAGAATGAATGTAACTCGAATGCATCTCGATCCTATTTCAGCCAGCAATCGAACTACACTTGTACGGCATTGGAAGTGTAGTCTAAATATTCTCACTGCATTCTGACAGGATTATTGATATTCCTGGTTTTCCAACTACATTCAAGTCGTATCTGAGAGCTAATACAGCCGAAATGTGCACGAATCATTCCAGGCGAATTCAAGCGCATTCTGAGTATTCCAACGGCATTCTTACAAGAATTTAGGCTAATTTGAAATTTCTTCCCGAATGTAGTACGAATTTTTAAATTTAGTCATTCCGGCTGGTTCTGCTTGATTCCTGCTTATTCCGAATAATTGTAACGGGGGCTTTAGAAAGAAAGTATAAATAGTAGAACCTAAGAAAAACATGCGAGCTGCCCCAATTAAAAGAATGGATTTATATTCACTAGGTCCCAGATGCCCGGAGTCCCACCCAGAGCACAGTAAACTGGTGAAGTCAGGCATGATGAGTTCTAGCTATGTCTGTGAAGACGGGTACCACATGAACGGAGACAGTAGTTTTTCCATAGTTTGTCTTTCAAATGGAAAGTGGAATATTACAGCAGGTTGCTCGGGTAAGCCGACCACCTTCGAGCACACCCAGCTTTTCGGGGGAGGGGGGGCTTTGGGGCCGTTATGGGCCACTGACTGGGCCCTTATTAGACACGGCCACATGTATCGCAACATTGACTTTGAATTCTTAAATGAATGGTTTGTTTGTTCCTGTCACAACAATTTATTGTCTAGGTATCCAATGCAGGAGACAAAAAGTGGGATTCAATTATTTTATACAAATTGTACTAAATGCATGTAAAATATACAAGCATTTTAAATATTTATCAAATCTATTTCATCACATCTTTTAATATTGAATTTGTATATTAAAAAAATAAGAATTCACGCATATAATATCCATAATCTTTACAGACAAGAACGAATGCATCCTGGGCACCCACAATTGCAGTCAACACGCAAAATGCACTAATTTACCCGGTAGTTTTAGCTGTTCTTGTAATTCTGGCTACACCGGTGATGGCTACAACTGTAATGATATTGATGAATGCAAAACAACCAACAACTGCAGCACTTCGGCTAGCTGTACCAATACCAATGGTGGCTATACCTGCTCTTGTAATTCTGGCTACACCGGTGATGGCTACAACTGTAATGATATTGATGAATGCAAAACAACCAACAACTGCAGCACTTCGGCTAGCTGTACCAATACCAATGGTGGCTATACCTGCTCTTGTAATTCTGGCTACACTGGTGACGGGTACACCTGTTCTAGTCCTATAAAAGGTAAGCAATAGCAACTTAAAGTGATTGATTATTATATTACCTGGCATCTTAACTTTCTGAACAGTCAGATTTATTTATTCATTTATTNCTCCTCAGCTATCTGTACCAACACCAATGGTGGCTATACTTGTTCTTGTAATGCTGGCTTTACTGGCGATGGCTACAACTGTAATGATATTGATGAATGCAAAACAACCAACAACTGCAGCACTTCAGCTATCTGTACCAATAACTATGGTGGCTATACCTGCTCTTGTAATTCAGGTTACACTGGTGATGGCTACAACTGTAATGATATTGATGAATGCAATACAACCAACAACTGCAGCTCCTCATCTAGCTGTACCAATACCAAAGGTGGCTATACCTGCTTTTGTAATTCTGGTTACATTGGTGATGGCTACAACTGTAATGACATTGATGAATGCAATACATCCAACAAATGCAGCTCCTCAGCTAGCTGTACCAATACCAATGGTGACTATACTTGCACTTGCAATTCTGGCTACACTGGTGACGGCTACAAATGTTATGATATTGATGAATGCAAAACAAACAACAACTGCAGCTCCTTGGCTAACTGTGCCAATACCGATGGTGGCTATACCTGCTCTTGCAATTCCGGCTTCAGTGGTGATGGCTTTAACTGTAATGATATAGATGAATGCCAAACAACCAACAACTGCAGCACTTCAGCTAGTTGTACCAATACCAATGGTGGCTATACCTGCTCTTGTAATTCTGGCTACACCGGTGATGGCTACAGCTGTAATGACATTGATGAATGCAATACAACCAACAAATGCAGCTCCTCAGCTAGCTGTACCAATACCAATGGTGGCTATACCTGTTTTTGTAATTCTGGCTACACCGGTGATGGCTACAACTGTAATGATATTGATGAATGCAAAACAACCAACAACTGCAGCTCCTCAGCTAGCTGTACCAATACCGATGGTAGCTATACCTGCTCATGTAATTCTGGCTTCACCGGTGATGGCTACAACTGTAATCATATTGATGAATGCCAAACAGTCAACAACTGCAGCACTTTGGCTATCTGTACTAATACCAATGGTGGCTATACCTGCTCTTGTAATCCTGGCTACACTGGTGATGGCTACAACTGTAATGACATTAATGAATGCCAAACAACCAACAACTGCAGCTACTCAGCTAGCTGTACCAATACCAATGGTGGCTATACCTGCTCTTGTAATTCTGGTTACAGCGGTGATGGCTACAACTGTAATGACATTGATGAATGCAATACATTCAACAAATGCAGCCCCTCAGCTGGCTGTACCAATACCAAAGGTGGCTATACCTGCTCTTGTAATTCTGGTTACACTGGTGATGGCTACAACTGTAATGACATTGATGAATGCCGAACAACCAACAAATGCAGCTCCTCAGCTAGCTGTACCAATACCAAAGGTGGCTATACCTGCTCTTGTAATTCTGGCTACAGCGGTGATGGCTACAACTGTAATGACATTGATGAATGCCAAACAACCAACAACTGCAGCACTTCGGCTAGCTGTAACAATATAAATGGTGGATATAACTGCTCTTGCAATTCTGGGTATAATGGAAACGGCTATCTTTGTGAAGGTAGGAATTTTTGCTATGAAACTCGCTCCATGAAATTCAGGGAATACTGTAATTGCAGCAAATCTCATGTTTACTGGATGGTAAATGCATAGTTTGAGGAACAAAAATAATAATAGTGATGGAATATAGCGCTATGGTAACAGATAAAACCAATAAAATCAAGCGCAAGATGGTTTTTGATATTTTTTTTGTAGATGTGGATGAATGTAGCAATGGTCAACACAACTGTTCTGGTGAACATGTGGTTTGTCGTAACACCTTTGGGAGCTACAAGTGCCAGTGCGAAAATGGTTATTTTGAAAATGGAAATACGTGTTCCAGTAAGTTATATTAGTCTTTTAATTTTTTATTCAAAATACAGTAAGATTATGTACTGCACATTTATGTAAAATTATAGCACGGCATTAATAGTGTAGTTAAATAAGTTTAACATCATTGTGAACGGTCCGCCTACAGATATTTCACCTTCCCTCATGTGGTAAATAGGGCATTAAAAGACAACATTTGATTATAAACAGTATATACATGAGTAGGGGGTATCTCAAGGATAATTTGTCCAAGAATTATCCTCATACAATTGGTGAACTGAAGATGGCTAGTACAACAAAAATCAGGGAAATCCCGAAGGAGGAATGTGTTTGAGTAATTGACAAAAATTCGAAACGATTGCAATTGTGCATCCAATGCCGCAGAAGCCATTTGGAGCATACATGTATTTCTAAAAAAAAGCTACCTTTTAGGTAAAGTGACTAAGATAAGTGAAAGTTTGGGGAATGATCATATCCATATTGAAGTTTAAGTCCAGCAAATTTCTTGAAATTTGATGGAGCTTTGTAGGATTAAATAAAGTGTTTTTTTTTTTGGGGGGGGGGGGGGACCTTTGTGATTTTTTCAGAGCTAAATATATTCTATTTTTTGTTTATTCTCTTTAGTTGTTACCTGTCAGTTACCAAAGTTACAGGACACAGTGGTTGTGACGTATGATACCTTGGTGTTTGGCAGCACGTTAACCTACAGCTGTAGTGATGGAGACTTGGTGCTGGCAGGGAGTTCAACAGCAGTTTGCATGAATAACGGAAGTTGGAGTTCCGAACCCCCATCTTGCACGGGTAAATATGCTAAGAATTAAAACATTTCATTTGCAAACCCTGCATAGTTGTTTATAATATATACAAGGTTCATGATTTGTATAATTTGGAAACTTAATTTTAACTGTTCTCAAAATAAGATCTTGGTAAGCCAAACAACTGACAAGTAATCTAGTTTAAGACTTGTGTGTTTATTTTACGTTTTTCTTTAATATTACAATCTGACTATTATAGTCGAGTTTCCAACAACATGCGTGTGTAGAAAATTGTAAAAAAGATTTATTATTGTTAATAATCGGTAATGAAATTATAAAAGAATTATTAATCACATATCCATTATTTATATCATAAATCAATCTGATCTGAGTAAGAAGCCAAAGATTGCAAGACGCATGTTAATTGCAAGGGATCACCAAAAGTAAACTAAGGTCGGGGGGCGGGGGTGAGGCGAAGGTGCTCTGATGTTCGGGGGTGGCGAGGCACGTGTCTGTTTGTGCTGAACATTGACATCCTGCCCTCCTCCTTTGCTCCCCCTGCTACTCTTTGACTGCAGATTTAGTATCAATTTCTGATTGTGCAAATGGCGATATCTTCTTTAGGGAACTAGTATTTGGACTATCTAGCAGCAAATATCTGGTTTATCAGGAATGCTCAATCAGAAAGTTCCATTTGATAGCCAGCTTTATGTATTGATTTATACCCTTATTGCATGTACGACTAACCCAGACATATGTACGTATATAGTGAATATTCATGTGACGCGACAGAAAAATCATTAATCAAATTTTCTCCCCCTCTCTTTTCAAAGTAATTTTTGTCCAGTTTTTTTTTTTGGGTCTTTGTATTCCATTATTCATCATCTACATGTACCGTCAGAAGATAAAACAACTTCTTAAGTGTTACAATATATATTTCAAACATTTCATTTCGCCGTTTCTCTTTCCTAGGATTCACGTCTCAAGAAGGTAAAAACAATCCGACAGAAATACTGAATTCACAGGGTAAGTAATTCTGAATAAGTAACCATATCAACAATTTGGGTTGTGCTTGTAAAAATCACAGTCATTAGATAAACGAAGCACTGCTTTTTCTTTAGAAATCTGTATACTTTTTGTCAAAGCCTTTTTATTTAAAAAGAACGAAAAATCCCACGGATTAATGTTCCAAATTCCTCGATTAAAAATAAAAATTCCATTCATCACTATTAGACGTAAAATGTGATTTTGCATTCCCGGAAAATTTCAATACATTAAATGTGTTTTAAACTTTGCTAGTCTTGAAATGCTGATCAGTAACTAAGCGTTTTATTTTTAATATGATTTAATTTAGTTCACAAAGCTTCAAAAAAGTTAGGCAGTTGTTCATATCTCTTTTTTTACTGTCATGACATAGTTTTGTAACACTCATCAGTCAATGTGCTTTTTATTTTCGTATGAATTCATCTATTAGCTGTAATCTTGAATATGAAGAGTATCTTCAAAAGAGTGAGGTAGTTGTTCATATTTCTTATTTATCTTTTTTTATATAGATATATTGTGGATCATCATTGCCGCCGTTGTTGTATTGGTTCTGGTAGTCGTTGGCTGTATCATGTTGGCGATAGTGTGCAGAGGGAAAAGGTAGTCTTTGATAGTCACTTATTTCTGATTTGTCATTTTCAAGTTTTTTTAGACCTGTGAGTTGGATACATTGCAAAACGTAAAATAGAGAGGAAAAGCAAGCACTTTTGTCGTCTTTTGAGTAGAAATACACTCACAACACCATACACTGCAAACTACGAAAGATATTTTGTCGCGTCTTTTGGAAATCCATTTACAATTCAAAGCATTTTTTACAAATAAGATATGATTCATTTGGAAATTAATTAAACAATGTAATTCTTTATTGAACAAAATCAGGAAGAAGAACAACCAGACCGAGGACGAACACAAACTGTTTCACATGAGCAGTAAGTCCATCAGGAGCAATATGTCTGAAGAACGCTCCAGTTCCAGACAAGACAGCGTTGACAGTGCCTTCTCCTCTCAAACCAGCATTGACAGCGAAACATCGGATAGGTATACGACCTTGGCGGGAAAGTCCCGAGAGGCAATACAGATGGAAGAATTAGAGCACTACGACAGTGGGGACTATGGAAACTCAGCAGCACGTGACCCAAGAAAACCAGGTTGTACTGAACAGGGCCGCCAGGAGAAAACCTATGCGCCTGGGAAAATACGCTACAATCGCCATCGTTATGGAGGACATCATGACAACTCTTCCTCGTCCCGTCCTAACCGTTATGGCCGTGCTCAACCCTCAGGGCCCAGCAGGTACCCGCCAGAGGTTGAGGCACGGGGAGACCGTCACCCAGTTCAGAAGGGGAATCCAAGGTACTCGCGCCACGTGGACCCGCCCTCATATCACGGGAGACATATAATGGATCAATATAATTGGTAAAATAAGGCCCGCTCTAGGACACCTTCAAAAAGTTTTTTTGACGTTTTGAATAGTAGGTATTATTTCTTCAAATGACGGGCAACAAGATGTTTAAATTGTTTTGTAAATTTATGTCAGTTGTTTAAAAATTGGCTAATTTTTAAGCTAGGATAAAGCGAAGGTGTCTTGTAATCGTTAAGCATAATAAACAGTAACGCGTTTGAAATATATGTACTCCATTAATCGTTAAATTAGATCATGCACTGAGTCATTATACGTGAGAAAGTAATCACAATTGTTAGATCTTGCGATACGGGGACGCGTCTTTTCTACAATAAGATGCATACATCTTCATCTGTAATTTTTACTTTAAATATTACTAACTTGAAGGGAAAATTACTGTAAAGTAATCTTAATTAATGGATAACTTGAATCCCGAATTGCACTGAAGATAGTGTCTAGGGGATTCACTTCCAGGTTTGATTATTGAAAAACGACCCTGGCAACCAGAAGTTAGTGTCGTACTTCAAAAACGACCCTGGCAACCAGAAGTTAGTGTCGTACTTCAAAAACGACCCTGGCAACCAGAAGTTATTGTAGTACTTCAAAAACGATCCTGGCAACCAGAAGTTAATGTCGTTCTTCAAAAACGATCCTGGCAACCAGAAGTTATAGTGTAGTTCTTCAGAAACGATGCTGGCAACCAGAAGTAAGTGTAGTTCTTCAAAAACGCTCCTGGCAACCAGAAGTTAGTGTAGTTCTTCAAAAACGCTCCTGGCAACCAGAAGTTAGTGTAGTGTTTCTAAAAACGCTCCTGGCAACCAGTCGTTATAGTGTAGTTCTTCAGAAACGATGCTGGCAATCAGAAGTTAGCGTAGTTCTTCAAAAACGCTCCTGGCAACTGATTCTAGACATTAACTTTGGGGCACTTGAGTTGCTTTAGTTTGCCTGCCTTTCAGTGCAATAGCGAGTTGTTTCCATTTTTATATATATATAATATTAATATTTCAAGTAAATATAGAGCAAATTAAAAAAAAAAACATTTTATATCAATCTTTTAATTTTTGTATATATACAATTTCAGAACGACGTAACAGGGATTTGAGAGACATAAGAAAATACAAGATATTTGAATATATAATAGGAGGCTTTGAGCCTAGGAAAAACGGCATTGATTCTTTTTTAACCTACATGTACTACGTAAATCCATTATACTGTATCTGCAAATGATTTTTTATTACCTAATATAACATAGTTTTTACTTTTTGTATACATTCAATATTGAACATGTGTAGATAGGTAGGTGTGTCTTATTAATCAATATAAGGATTCTTTTAAATAGTTAACAAACACAAGGGATAGAATAGTATCTTTATTTAACACTCTGAAATGATAATAAAACACTGCATTTAATGCAAAAATAGAACAATGTACTCATTTCTAGAACAGTGACAGGATACAAACTCTATTCACTGGACATATTCCACAGTATTTTCCCTTTCATTACAATTTATTCTCTCCAGATCATGCTGCCAATTCTGTTTTTGGCAATCAAAAGGTTCAACAAGGTTTGCTGCTGCTGCCTCCCCCCCCCCCCCCAATTCTCCGTGGGGTGGAATATATAAATATGGGCTACAAGATATGGGCTACAAGATATTGTGTTGGGGGGGGGGGGGGGTATATAACTAGGGCAGAATACTGTGGAATGACCACCTTCAATTAAAACAAAAGTAGCTTTGGTACAGTTCACAATGACAGACTCCTGTCTCCAACATATTACAATATCTCAACTCTTACTGCTCTGCACTTCAAAGTGTTTTTTTTTTAATTACAAGAATTACAAGAATCCTAACAGCAGTTGAGCAATACATGTACAATACTGGGCGTGCTGAGAGGAAAAATCACAGGGGTGATGCATGTCTTCATTGTCGGTCTTTTACTTTCTTGAGCAAGTGATTTTCTATAAAACCTTATATAAAATGTCTATTAGTAGCTAAAAGGTGTGTCTTAATTTGCAGGAACTGTTGGGTAAAAATAATCTTTAAGCAAATGAAAACAAATGCAGTATTACCACTCCATAGGTGATTCAAAGACTTTTTCAGAAGGTACAACAACAAAGCAAAAGCCTTCAAAAAGTAAATAATCATTAAAAACTGTGACAAACATTCAATGTTCTTATGTAATTATGCTCTAAATAAAATTCCATAGCAGATGTTATTGCTTACAGTTTTCTCAATTTAAATGTGTTAAGATTAAAAAATTAAAGGAAAAAAATGTTTTGCATCATTAAAAAGACTGATTGTCAATAAATTACAGAGTTCAACTTTGAACAACACTATTAAGACTGGTGCGTGTATAACGTTCTATAAAAAATCCAAATAACAGATCTTTCTGAAATTACAAGCGAGGACGGATTTGTATTCCAGAGACAAAAGTGTAAAGCAGGACTATCATACAATGTGTGTGCTTTCATGAGACTCTCCTTTCAATACAGCCTACTAAAGCCTAGGTCCCAACCGAATGTACAGGCTGCTACGTGTGGTCTACGGCCAAAAATATGGGGAAAACGTGGGAGTTCGTGCATGAGAAGCACGTCCATCGTGATACTTTTGGAGGACGCAAACACCACGTAGAAACTTTTCACCAATTACTCGATTCCTTCCCTGCGTTCTAGCTACGTCCTAGCTAGACGCAAGGAACCTAAAAACCTAAAAACCAAAACGTAGTTGGGACCTAGGCTTAAGTCTTCCAGTGATAAATAAAACAGGCCACATTCACAACAGTGGACTAACTAGTCTGAGGGTCAAATATGGTGACCCACTACAAAGCTTGCCATCCAATCAGCTAATAGACACTGTATAGATTCCCCATGGGGAAGCATTCAAGTGGGTCAGTGATATTTAACCCTCAGACTAGGAAGTCCACTGTTCTGAATGGGGCCATACAATGTCAACCTATTAAATCGTCATCAAGAGCCCCACTGCCAACATTATCACCACTATTTACTGTCAGAAGACAAATACTGATGCTCTATCTGACCTGGGGCCTATCTTCACCGATACTATCCGACGAGAGATGGATAAGTTATCCGAGTTACCTAGCAACCCCTACATTCCCACATACTATGGTGGTGATACGCGATTCCAGATGAGCTCTGATATTGAGCAGAACACTCAGTTATTACTGGGTTATCTTTTTCTATAATGGCGTTAAAAGGTTGGCTTCAACAACATTTGTTACATTTTTTTGCAAAAAATAATTATTATAATCATAATAATAATCATCATAATAAATAAATAAATGGCAGATTTTGTGACATGTCTCTGAACATTTAATGTCAATGCAATAGGTTTGTCTAGAAGGATGGATGTCAGTTATTGCTTTAGGAGCCAGATTTTCAACATGCCCATAAGTTATTATAAGCAATATAAGTTACTTTCAACTAAAGACCCACTACTTACAACTTCTTCACACTATCTAAATATAAAATACTTAAAGGGATAATAACTCTTCGTTTCGGCCAAAAAATGAATTTTCCTGGAGTAAACAACAATTTTCCCATACTTACCAATGGTTAATGAATCCATTTTTACATTCAAAGTTAGTCCCTGGTTTTTTTCTAAAAAGTTTGCTTTTTTGTTAAAATCTCTTAAGAGATTTTAACAGAGTATAGCCATCAATGGAGGTCACGTGGTCTAAAGACAAGCTCAGATATCAGAAAAAATAGCTATAACTGCCGTTTTTGTGGTAAAACAGAATGTATTATATTTCTATGAGTTATTCACTATGTTTTCATTGTGAAATATAGATCTCATACGAAGAGTTATTATCCCTTTAAAGTAAGGACTACAAATGAAGCTCTGGAAAATATCTGTAGTACAAATATTTGTTATTACCTATTTCATGCTTAAAAAACAACAACAATAATAATAATAATAATAATAATAATAATAATAATTTTCATAGTTACAACATAAAATATTGCAGCATCAATTGTAATCACTGTAATATCTGTCAATTGTTTTGAGCAATTAATCACAGTTATTGTTACAATACAATCTCAGCAGTAACAATGCCAAGACCAAGCTTGTCTACCATAGAACTAGGTGACACTTGTGATGCCAGTACGTATCAATAATGATAGAGTCATTACACTGGAAATTTCTACATTAGTAAATTACAGTGAAACTCATACAA